ATGAGCATAAGAATAGCTTCACTGGTAGGCATTCAGCCAACAGTCAGAGGTGACCTTGTATTAACCTGGTGAAAGCTAGGCAAGCAGATTCCTTCTTGCTGGGAAACAGCACAGGCAATTGTCCATTGGAGAACTTGGAGGGTCACTTGTAATTTCTGGGCTGTGCTAGCAGAGCCTGTGAACGGTCTGCAGGACCTCCTCCTTTGAGAAGCATGTAAACCTACAGAAACGTTAACCATGACCTTTTGAAAAGGCAAAGTTAATATTTTGAAAGTGTGACTTAATCTGACGTTAAATGATCACAGTTATTAGGGCAGCATTATCATAGGCCATAAAGCCAAGCTTTGCTTCCATGGAAATGGTGGATGACAGGTTGGCCATGAGCCAGCAGTGTGCCCTTGTGGCCAAAAAGGCCAATGGCTTACTGGGGTGCATTAAAAAGAGCATGTCCAGCAGGTTGAAGGAGGTGATCCTCCCCCTCTACTCTGCCCTGGTAAGACCTCATCTGGAGTACTGTGTCCAGTTCTGGGCTCCCCAGTACAAAAAAGACAACGATCTCTTGGAAAGAGTCCAGCGGAGGGCCATGAAGATGGTGAAGGGCCTGGAGCATCTCTCCTATGAGGAAAGGCTGAGTGAACTGGGTCTGTTCAGCCTTGAGAAAAGGAGACTGAGAGGGGACCTGATCCAGGTCTATAAATATCTAAGGTGTGGGGGGCAGAATGGCGAGGCCAGACTGTTTTCAGTGGCGAGTGGAGACAGGACAAGGGGAAGTGGCTGGAAACTGCAGCATAGGAAGTTCCGCACAAACATGCACAAGAACTTCTTTACAGTGAGGTGACGGAGCACTGGAACAGGCTGCCCAGGGAGGTGGTGGAGTCTCCTTCTCTGGAGATGTTCCAGACCTGCCTGGATGCCTACCTGTGCGACCTGCTGTAGGGAACCTGCTTTGGCAGGGGGGTTGGACTCGATGATCTCTGGAGGTCCCTTCCAACCCCTACAATTCTGTGATTCTGTGAAATGTGAAGATAACACAGGTGACTCCTGAGGCTGTTTTCTTCTATCTGTTTGCATATGTTTGGATCTACGTGTTTATAGTAATGGTACAGCTAACAATAAGCAAGCAGCCTCTGACTTTATGCCCAAAAGTGGAGAGGAGTTTGGGCTCAGGCCCATTGGAACAAGTTTTGTGCAGCATTGTGTGGGACGGTGTTGGAGTTTGTTATCTAGTGCTAAACTTCCCTGTACAGTCCTTCACAGAAGGACAATGCTAATGCAGCATTTAATCTGAAGATGGGAATCTTTCCACTGGATTTGGATCTGGGTGGCATGAGCTACGTGCTTTGTTTCTTCCTTCACAGCATTAACTTAGAGCCAGGAAGCTTCTCACAAGCGTGTGCAGATGTGATTCTTGCATCTGGTGAGGAAGGAAATTCTGAAAGAAACTTATTAAATTCTGTGTGCTTGGTGCAGTTCAGAACCATGTATGTTTTTATGGGCATGTACTACTGCTGTGAGTATAAATTATGACCAGAAAGAGCTGCAACCCTAATAACTGAAAGTCACCCAAAAGTAAGTATAAATAGAATCTCACTAAACCACTATATAAACCTAAAATGACTACAAGAAAACAAGTATTTTGAATTATTTAATATTACTAAAGCCAAAATATAATCTGTGTATCATAATAGCTAGCATCAACTGTATATTTATGGTAAGTGAATAAACAATGAAACTACATATCTGTAACTGTGTAGTCTAACTAATGCATTCATGTTTTTCCTATATCTTTAAAATATGTGCCACCAATAGAAAGATTTAATCAGTTGGTGAATGCAGAATACTGAGCATCTGATGTTCTCACTTAATGGCTTAAACTATCTAATCCTGTTACATATTAGTTCTCATCGCCTATCAGAAAATTACCTGTTGTTTGTGTCAGAGACATGTAATGGATTGGATTAATGTAATCACCTCTAAATAGAGCTACCCTTGAATCCTGCTGAGACATTTTGAAAGGCAGCATGCAACCATAGCACAGTAGTGTGATGTGAACAGAAGACTTCATGGAAATTGTGGTGGATTATAATTTGCTTTTGCTTCTTGTATTTGACTAAATCTCAAAGAATTAATTTGAGCACTGGGAGTTTTAAGTTTTACTCTCTACTGTGGAGAGTAATTTTTATCACGAACCTTAGCTGTTCTTCCATTTGACAGAGATTAGTTTAAGAAAAAAAATAGTCCTGCTGACATATGATTGATGTACTGGAAGATGGAAGAATTATGTTGTCACTAGTCATGAGAGGGTATTTTCTCATTTACTGCAGACTCTAAGAATTGTTTTAAACTTTAAAACATTCTCTGTTATGAATTCCCTACTTTTTTCAAGATGTATTTTCTAGAGATTTATTAGGTGCTTTTTTTGACTTCTGATGCTGAAAGAGGTTTATTTTGAATATCTATCTGGATTACTATCTCTGAACAATCTGATTTATATTTATGAAATTATTTTTGAGAGATCTCATTTGATTAATCTAAACATATAGAGTGTAAAAATAATCCCTTTTTAAAAAATGATTAATTTTTTCTTTACGTATTAATTATCTAAAATAGAAGGGAGGTCTGTGGCACTGAAGGAAAGCTGACACACCAGTGAAATGGCAGTAGATTCCCCCCTTTGGCCAGAAGAGGGAGAGATGCACCTGGTCTGGCTAACGAGATCACTGCTTCAGCCCAAATTGAAACGTAATAGCTACTTGGGCAAACTGCTTCTGTGCCGTCAAACCTTGATTAATACAATAACAAGCTGTATTTTACTCTGCTGTAAAGGAAAACAACCCTTATGTAGTACCTAGAGATGCATAAATAAGTCTTAAAGGCAGTGAAACTTGGGCACACCCAATCTCATAGCTGGGATTTTAATTGTGCACTGGGGATTCCTATGTTCCCCTACGTTGAAAGAAAGTTTAAGAAATGAATTTGCGTGCAGAATGATATTTCTCTACTGTGGGTTGTAAATAGTATAACAAGAATATTAGTGAGATTGGTCTTGAGTTGTGTCTTGGCTTCTAGGCAACATAATAAGCCAGTTCTGTGAATATCCACATAGCCAAAGGAGCAGGGTGGGTATAGCATGGAGAGAAAACCTTTTAAAACTGCTAATTTACTCCTATTTCTTAATGGGTAAAAAGGAGAGAGAGCTGATGGATCAAGTTGGTGTAATTCTCACATTATTTCACATAGTTCTGACAATGGCTCGGTCCTAGGAACTGCAGTGATTTAAGGAAAAGTGTATTTTAGCAGAGCACCAGTTCAAAGAAAACATTTTGGCTTGTTCTTTTTTACAGTGATAGGAGTTTATCTTAAATGGTAAAGGGTGTTTCTAAGCTCACTTTGCTCCCTAGGTAAGTAAGTGTGCCTGTGGGGTATTGAAACTGGTGACTGAATGTAATTGTCTTGTTTTGCTCTGACATGAGGGAATGGGGGATGGAACAGCTGTAGTCAGATTTGCAGGTGACAAAGCATACCCTGATGTATTTCAGGAAAAAAACATCCAGTTTCAGTATGCTTTCTATACTAATGGATACACATTACATATGTTCTCCTACTGTATTATATCTCATAGTCCTTTAGGTTCAACTTCAAAAAGTGCTTCTTTGAATCATCCCTGAAATACTGCTTCCTTTTTAATCTAAAAACTAATGTGATTGGTTAAGCTTATGCAGTGTGGTTTTTCAGTAGCCCTTGGCCATGCTTTACTTTCTTGCTTTTATGATGCGTTGTTAGAGCAGGTGGAGCAGTGACAGCTGCTTGCATTACTAAGGCTAATGAAATGCAAAGCTCATTTTTGTATCCAGGTGTTTTGCTAACCACTAAGCCCAGAGTGGGCAAAATTCAGCCAAGTGCAGACAGTAGTATGTAGCTGAAGCACCCCAAGTAGTTTATTTTCTCGTTTGCATTTATACACCAAGTATGAGTTAACTGTATCTGGAGCATAGAAATACTTGGCTTGGTGCAGTAGCAAGACTTGACGGTGAGAAAAAACACCAGTGAAAGAAATAGTGAACTAGTCTTTCCTAACCCTTAACCCAATTTAATTTATACAGTCTGCCATGATCTCAGCTTCAAGCCTGGATTAAAGCTCCAGATTCAGCTCTAGGGTAAATTAAATTCCATGGGAGTTGTGCCATTCACACAAAAACAACGTGTTCCTTTGGAATAATGATGTGCCTCCCCTTTGATATTTCTACTGCTTGAATGCCAAGTCAGCCTGGTGACACTTGCTCCCTGTTCCCATCTCCCTTGGTGTACAACTGGTGCCTTCAAGAGCTCTTCTGCTCTGGCTGGTTTGGTACATTACTGCAAGCTTTCAAAAAAACACTACCCTCAGCATTTTGCCTGGATCATTTCCTAGTTCAGATTGTGTTCCTTAGCAGATGGCTACATCCATCCTCACCAGTCAGCAGCAACCCCACTCCTATAACTAGTACTTGGTAAATAGCATGTGGTCAGTAAACTAAGGCTCAATCCATTTGGATAATTTAGCTTTGGATGATTTTACTTCATATTTTGAAAAGCCCTTCTAGCACAGCCAAGCCCGCTATCTCCTGTGTTCTTCTCTCTTTGGCCTTAAGTTCATGGGTTCAGTTTGCATTTTTGCTGTACCTCAGTGGACATCCAATGCCTTTTTGCACACTTGGGGTTTTAATTCATTTCACCCTTTTTCTCTTGGCAAGTCATTTCATGGAAGCATGCATGTGAGGGTGTGTTTGCATGTTTATTTGACGCACATTACAGAGCACTCTTCTAATTTTTGAACATTTACTTGCTCACTGATCCTATAGAAGATGACTGCTCCTGCCATCTTGTATTACCATGCTGGTTGGGTTGCTGGATAAACTTTTGAGAGCATTAACATGAAAATGACAGGAGCAATCCCTGCAGTTCTTTTCCCTCTAGGCACTCTGCAGTAAGAGAACACTCTGTACTGCTTTGTTTTTCAGGTTGATGGTTTCCTCACACTTCTCTTTGGCCTGGCTAGCATTAACACCCTCACAGTGATCAGTGTGACTCGCTATATAAAAGGCTGCCATCCTGAGAGAGGTAAGGAATAAAGGCAGATCCAGTTGTGCTTTCATTGAATTTTGCTGTAACTCTGTTCTCCTTTCAGTTACAGAATTTACCAGATACAAATTAGATGCACTGGAAACGGTAATATAATGTAGTCAGGTACTTGTAGTTTCCATGGAAATAGATAGGAAGCATTACTTTCAGAGTGACCTACACCCATATTCTATAAATTTTCTCTGGTCCAGCTTTCACCATCCTTAGATAAGACATTATCAATTTTCATGCCCTTATTATGACTGGTTTGTACCACCCCCAAGCGAGAACCTATTAGTATCTGCATTTAAAGCTTGTGTAAACCATGGATACAATATATGAGTTTTCTTTCTATTAGGGTGAGCAGTATTAGCTGTGAAGAGATTATTCATGGAATCTTTTTTCTTCTACAGGAAGTTCTCTTGCAGTTTACAGTGATAAGTTCATTTCACCTCCATCTTGTATTCATAGCTTCATAAGATGCAATATTTAAAATGCACACTTCTCTTTTGCTCTGCTGTATCACATATTCATTGCTAGTAATTTATCTTTGGGTGTTGAGAAAATCTGACCAAGTACTCAGTATAATGTTACATAAATGTTAAGGAACAGAGATGGGTGGCTGCATAAGTATTTTATTGGTAGACAAAGAAATGATCACCACATATGGCAGCAGTGGAACAGACTGAATCATTTGTACCGTGTGGCTAATGAAGTTTGATCAGATAGTATTTTTTTTTTTTGCTCTTTTTTAACAGTGAGAACTTTGAAATAAATAAGAAAATCCCATGCATTTACACTAACCATAATCATTTCTGCATAAAACATATTTCTTCTTCTTACAAAATTACAAAACACAGCTCCAACACAGAATGTTGTATTTCTGCAGCAGTCAGCAAACATTGTCTCTGATAAATAGCTACACAGTCCCACTGCTCCACAAGTGAACTCAAACACAAGCATTTGCAAATTTAAGCTTTTCTTATAAATAAATAGCTTTATATTAAATTTTTCTCAGCTGTGTTTTCTTCATTTATTGTTTTCTGGTTAAATCATCTCATTGCAGCTCACTGTATCAGCAACAGCAGTATGACGGTGGCTATGGTCCTCATCTGGATAGCAGCCTTCTTCTGGTCAGCAGCTCCACTGCTTGGCTGGGGTAGTTATACAGGTAACAGGTATCTTTCAGTTGTACTTATTTGCCACTTCTCCACTGAACTGAACTGAGATACTTACCCTTTTTTCTTCCTGTTTGTGATTAAACCGGATTGATCAGCAGCAGAACTGAGAAAAGTAATTCATCAGGGAAGATGGATGTGCAGTGTTGCCTGCTTTGGTGTCAGCTATAAAGAGATTTCTTGAAGATATCACAGGAAATACTTGGATCAAATGTGTATTATCTCTGGGGGAAAAAATGGGGCCAGAAATATTTGGCATGGTTAAGCAGTGAGATAAAGGAAATGATCAAAACACATCCTTCAAAAACTGTCAAGATTAGGAAGCTAGAAAATAATTCAAGTTCCAGCAAGTTAAACTTGAAACTACAGTAAAGCAAGCCAGAAGTTTAAACAGTTTAATGAAATTATGAAAACTAGCACAGCAGAGGAAGACAATGATGTCAGTCAGCCCAAGAAGTGATGAGGGTACAAGATAAGGCCATAGGGAAAAAAAAAAAGTAGAAAAAAATTAATTTGCTGACACTGAGGTAATTCAATGGTTAAGATCTATTTGCACACTAGAAAATTTCATTATGGGAAATAGTTGAGAAATTGTCTCAGATTAAGTCTCTAAACAAACCAATACAATAATTTCAGAGCTCACGCATCTTAAGTAAACCCTCATCTGGGGGAAAAGCAAATGAAAACACCCCTAGCTTTTAAAACAGTGCTTACCTCCTAGGGAAAATAAAAATAATGTGGATCTGGGTTTTATAGGTCTATGAAACATGAGCACAATAGGGAGAAAACAAGATATAATCAGGAAACAGATTAAAATATAAAATCATAGATCTCTGGTGTGACTGAAAAGAGGTTGTAGAAAGACAACCTCTTACATCTTGTATTTCAAGACATATAGGTGGAGATTTCTTCCCATAAAGAAATAATGGCAGCAATAGCTAGGAACTAAGGCTCTGAGACTCCAAGATCAAGGGCAAGGCAGAAGGTTAGGGCCAGGGCAAGTGTTAGAAAAAGACTAAAACCAGCACTGCAGCATGCACATATTTATTAAATAAGCTTTGAGTTATTTCTGTACTTCTTGAAGGATATATGTAAGAAAGCACTCATTTCCCATAACCTTGAGATCCCCTTCCCAAACTAAACTGTTATCAGAGAACTAGGCCCAGTGAATCTTCTGTTTGAGACAGGACAACTGCTCTAATTTTATGTAATGATTTTTGCACTCTAGGTATATCTTAGAACTTGGGTGGTCTGGATGTGTCATTTGCTTTGCACTTTGCAACAAGTGCTTTGCACTCTTGTAGCAACATGGGATTTTGTATGTACAAGAATCCGATTAGCTCTTTATCTGCAGGTTTTCTTATATCCATTTTTGGCCCTAACTTGGATCCATGGACTCCATGTAAGGATTTCCAAATGCCCCCTTGGATCCTGCTTGTAATTTGGATTCAACTCCCTGACAACAGTCTTCAAGACAGCTTCTTTGAGAGCTTCTCCCTGTTGAGAATAAGGGGTGCTTCAGATTCCTCATTTATCTGACTCTCAACACATTTTCCATAGAGGGACCCATGAATACCTACCTAGGTAGGAGTCCAGCAGAGCATGACAGTGACAGCCAGGCCACAGCATAAGGTGCATTTCTGCCTCCCACCTGTCACTTCTGCACAGCAGCTGCGGAGTTCCCCAGGCCCCCACTGACTTTTGGAAATGCCACTTGCTGGTGCTCCTGCAGAGCAAGGGAAACAGAGCTTTCAATTCTGACATAAAAAAATCTGCAGGATTTTCTTCTCATTCCAGTTGGAAGATGCTTCCTTTTTTTCCAGTCAAAAGTTTCCACAAGCCAGAAAATAAGAATTAAGTCAGAAGTTACGGTTATCTTTTTGAATAATACCTTGGGATCTATTGATGAAAAAAGGCAAAGGAGACAAAAAAAAGTTTCTATTACTGAGCATAGCCAGAAAGCACTGCCTAAAGCTTTTGGTGTTAAAAATATCAAGCTCTTTTTGATGAGACTCAAAAGAGATTTTAATCTTTTGCTCCTTTAATTTATTCTATCTGAAACTCCCTCCTATCACCCATGAGGAATTAAGAGGTTTTTCTGTTTTTTTTTTCCATTCAGAATCATCACTGGATGTCAGTGAGAAAGCTGTAGTTAAATCATGCAGGCTTCACCTGTACTGCATTTTCAGAACTTGTTAATACCTGACTTTGTAATTTTTGTTCATACTTCAATTATTCACTTTATTTCCATGGTTGTCAGGGGGAAAAAAGAAAGAAAAACAGCCATCCCTCCACCAACAAAAATCCACGATTCACAAACTACAGGCAATCCTTAATGCTGTCAAACTCAAGGTTTCTGTCAGGATACATTTATGAACACATCAAAAGACACTTGATAAGCCAACTGTTATTCATAAAAAGCATTTAAGCATAGACTGCTCTTCATTCCCATTGCCGCTTTCTTAGCTATCTGATCACCTACTGTCCTTTTGTAAATGCCCCCAGTTGCAGATCCTGCTATTTGCCTGACATTGTTTTTAAGAGCTGCAGCTCCTTTGTAGTTGCTTTCTATTTAGAAAGACTTGAAACATTTTGCTAAGTACTTATATGCTTCATTTTCCCATAATCTCTATTTGCTTTCATTTCTCCCACCACAATAAAATTTTCAATGCCTTTTTTCTTCTATTAAAAAAAAATAATAATAAAACCACCACTGAGTATTTTTCTTACTTTACTATGCAGGTAGTGACTTCTTACATGCAGCACATTGCATCTTTACAAGTGCTTGTTATGCTGTTACAGTGCTCACTTTAGAAAGTTACTTTTTAGAAGCATTTCAAATAACAGAAGATAACACTCTGTAGTATTAACAAACTAAATTAATACCCATTTTCTAGTGAAATGTCCTGAAACAACAGTTTGTACGTTATGGATTTACACTGGAAATCTAAATAAGACAGAATGATAATATGGATTAAAACTTGTAATGGTATATAGGAGTACTTGAAAAATTGGTTGTCACAGCTTGTTAATTAGAAAGGTGCTTATAGCTTAAAGGATGTAAAATACAGCATTAAATGTAATAAATTAATCATACAAAGCCAGATAAATGTTTTAAAAATGCTTAACAACTCACCTTTGTTTTCCAGATCGCATGTATGGAACATGTGAGATAGACTGGGCAAAGGCCAACTTCTCTACAATCTACAAGTCCTACATTATCTCCATTTTTATCTGCTGTTTCTTCCTACCTGTAACAGTCATGGTCTTCTCATATGTGTCAATTATCAATACTGTCAAATTAAGCCATGCATTAACAGGACTCAGTGATCCCACAGATAGACAGAGGAGAATGGAGCGCGATGTCACCAGGGTAAGACTGGGCTTCATATCATGGGATTTATCTCAGCGAAATCTGTCTGTCCAAAAATTGATCTCAACTAGGACAGAAGTGAACAAAACCCATAGCCCCTATTAAACTTCTTTGTAATCATCACTACTGAGTGAACATAAGAATTGTTTAGAACTCCTTTGGTTGCATAACAATTGTGATGTTGCTACATCACAAGAGAAAAATAATTTAAATATAATTGGAATAGGCCATACACCACAAACACAAAAGTTTAGTTTGGCATATTCTCTTTCAGAAGAGATGTTACTTCTGAGAATACACACAAGTTACAGGGGAACTTTCAAATTACTTATTCTAGATTGAAATCTACACCAAATCTCCTAAATTCATAAAAACCTATAGGGAATTGCAGCTGTTTTTGTTCCATTAGGTGAGGCACTGCTCATGCACACCTCATGCCAAGTGAGATATACAGCTTCTAGACACAGCTGGCACCAAAGAAAAGTTTTTGCTTCTCTGTGCAGTCCTGTAAGCCATATCTTCAGGAGAACCTGAATGTTTCCCTTCCAGATCAGTTTCTAAGCTATTTTTCCCCCAGTGTATTTCATCTCTGATGTAGTCTTCCAGAATAAATTTAAGACTGTTTTCCTTCTGTCTTTCAGGTCTCTATTGTTATTTGCACAGCCTTCATTATTGCATGGTCACCATATGCTGTCATCTCTATTTGGTCTGCGTATGGTCACCCTGTGCCCAATCTTACCAGCATCCTTGCCAGTCTGTTTGCTAAGTCTGCCAGTTTCTACAATCCTATAATCTACTTTGGAATGAGCTCTAAGTTTCGGAGGGACATTTTTATCTTGTTCCATTGTGCCAAGGAAGTCAAGGACCCTGTGAAGCTCAAACGTTTCAAAAACCTCAAGCAAAAACAAGAACCTTCTCAGAAAGAAGACAAATACGCAGCAGAAATGCATCCTGTACCGAGCCCCGATTCTGGTGTGGGAAGTCCAACCAACACCCCACCTCCAGCAAACAGGGAAGAGTATTTTGGTATTCTTGATACACCATCTAATAACCCTGACATCGAATGTGATAGACTCTAAGTTTTATGGCCACTTAACACATGCACCCACCTTTGTGTTCAGGAAGACCCTCTTCAGATCACTGTCTGAGTGATCTCCCAACTCCCAATCCATCTACTTCTTTCTGTAGCACTGAGAACTACACAACTCAAGCACAAACAAAGAGATACCTTCTGTGTAGGTGCAGAATGCTACAAAACACATTTCAACACGGGCAGCACACATGGTACCTGAAGCATTCGATTTTCACACATATGAAAGAAAATGAAGGCTCACTTGGGAAGAACTGGCATTAGCTAGCAAAAAAATACTGTTATTATATTCCTGTCCCAATTTTATTAATCATAAGATTACATTTCCAAATCTGTTTTTTAATTCCTCAGCAGTCCCAGGCATAGAGGATCTTTTCAGTTCTTTGATGCAGCACAGACCCCACTCATAGGAAAAGATGGGCCCACCTGCTGCACAGCTGCTGCTCCAGTTCTGCAAGTTGGTAGGCAAAGCTGTTCCTCCCTGGACACAGGGGTAGAATGGCCATGCCCACATGGGTATGCAACAGACTACCTGCCCAACTCTACATGTATCCATGCAAGTGCAAGGAACTGTAGATCTTGGTATTCTGTCACTGTAGGTTTAACAGCATCTGTTTGTTTCCAGAATTATTTCCATCTTCCCTGACTCTTCCAGTGAGCAGGGCCTGGCTGTAGCATGCACGTGCCCAAAAGCTGGCTTTAACTTCCTGATGTGTCTCTCTATCTCAATTGCTTTTCTGGGTGACTGTGAAAGTGCAGCGTGAGATGGTTTGCAGCCACTGAAACCAATGACAGTAAGAATAAGACAGTAAGAGTATTAAGAAAGTATGGCATCAGTGCTATTTACAAAATAATCTAACAACACTTTACTGCTGCTGTTAAAGTTTTCGTACCTACCTACCATGGGGGGAAAAAAAAAAAGAAAAAAAAAAAAAAAAAAAAAAAAGGACTTTCAGATAAATGCAAGTAGCAACAAAGGATAGCTATTTTAATAGCAAAACTATAGGATTAAGTCAGCAGTGAGAATATCTGATACAATAACATCCAATTATTCCCTCAATTTAATTTCACAGAATGAAAGTAAGGAGGCACATGTTCATAACTTCCCATCTTAGGAATTCACTGAGCACGCAGATTTCCATCACATTGTTTTTGTATTAACCCTGGAAATTCTGTGTCTTCATTCAGTGCCATTTGAATGAAAAACAAGGGTGGGGGGGAAAAAAATGAAATGATTTGTTGCTAACCTCAGCGATATTTATGACCTACGTGGAATCTTTCACCCTCAGCATATGCTAAGATGTAGTTGTTTTCCAACAGTTCGTAACTTCCCCAAGAAACACACTTGGAAAATCAAAGCAAGCCCACCTTCATTTCCTCCATTACTCTATTTGTTTTGAGAAAAATCACTTGTGTTTTGAAGTTAAAAAGAAATAAACATTTTAAGCAACAGTTGGGAACTGTTTCCTTTCACAGCCACAGATCTGAACTGCAAGAATATTCATCCCCATGGAAAATTTTGAGATACGGGTGCTATTTCATTACCATAAATAATTAAAAGCAAATAAGTAAACTGTTGACTTCCAGATAAAAGCACATGCCATAACTGCAGAAACAGACGAAGCCATTTAAGGCAAACCCCTGTCACAGCCAGATGAAGGCAGGCAAGGCCAGTCAAAGCTGGCACAACATTTTAAAAGCTTCTATGTCTAAACCCAAATCCTCGTTGGCAGCCTCACTGGACTGAGCTTAGCTACTGCTGCACACATCCACAGGTCACTTTGAGATGAGTGCCATGCATCCTTTGGGTGCAGCTCACAGAGGTACCTGCAGTGACAACCACTCCAGGCACTGGCAATAGCCACAGACACCTGGCTAGCATTTAATCAGTATTTCTGCTGATTTATGGATGTCTAGAGAAAGCATATGTGCCATTATACATGTACACAGCAGCAAGGGAGACACAGGAGTAAGATACACGAACCAGAAAAAAGCAACATAAGAGGGAAACAAGAAGATATGCAAGGACGCAAGGGGTCAGCAGCTTAAGGACACAAACTTGCCCCAGAACAATTAGAAACTGCTAATACTATAAAAGCCTTGACTGGACAGTGCAGATCTCATTCTTGCCATGCCTGAGGCTACAGTCCTTGTAGATAGATTCATGATTGCAGAGCAAAACATCTGGTTTTGCAGGTTATTTGAGGGGGGGAGGAAGAAGATGGATGCCTTTGCAGGCACCAACCTGTGCTCCAGGCCCCATAACAGGCACATTTGTCACTAGAGTTACTCAGGCTGTTAGGTTTCCAGCCCTCACACATCAGTATTCTGTAGCTGCACACAAGATACACACAAGCACCAGAAGACAGGAAAAAACACCCAGAACCAGTTCATGCTCAAGTACAGGTAAGGGAATATGCTTCAGGATTTCAAGTGTGCAAACCCACACACAAACTGTAAACAGTTGGCCTCCATCCTGCTTTCCAGTTTTGTTTTTCTTCCCCTTGTCTCTGGTTGCATGCTTGTCTGGAGGAGGCTGAACCCTGCTCCTCTGCTTGCTGAGCCCACATCACTGACCTCAGAGAGCCTCAAAGGGTGCAGAGGTTGAGAGCATCAGCAAGGGGAAACACGATCTGGGACTACAGAAGGGGCATGATGGAGTCCCAGGCTCTGTTCCCTATGCATTATTATGCCTTTTAGTCAGCAACAATGAAGAACAGTGTAGAGGCACACAGAAGACTGGAGTCAAATTATTTGCCTGCCAACCCTACTGCTTGTCAAACCTTGGATTTTCTTTTATGGTGGATGAATTTTGCCAGAGATGCAAGAGAGCTGTTGTCACAAACGATGCCCTGGTGATAAGGATGCTCTCAGTAAATTGCAGCTTTTAATGCTCTCAGTCTAAGATGGTCTTTGAAGGGAGGTCCCAAGTCCCTCACAGAAGCAAAGGCCTACCTGCTTCTGAGTTGTCTGTTTAGAAGTACTGTGTTTGTTTTGAATATAATAGGACAAGCATTTCATTTCCAAGAATGCTCTCAGCTTTTACTGGCTTGTTCCAGCAGGATCTGAGACATCTATTCACTCTCTCTCACTGCTAGGATGCAAGGAACCCAGCCAGCAAACCCTCCTAGCTATTCATCATCCATCTATCTCTGTACCCTCATTCCCATTGGCACTGCTGAAACACTCTGGCAAAAGGTGACATACCACAGCACAGCAAAAGTCATTCTGCAAAAACCTTGAAACACTTAAGCCACTCTTTAAATACTCTATATTCTCATTTTTGCCTAACATTTCTGATTAGATATTCATTAGTACACACGAGCAGGTAAATTAGTAAATACATTAATTGTGAAGCCATTACATATGTATCAAAATCTCATCAGCTCTTATTTCTTATTATCTATAGTATTCATAACATTCAGCATACCAGTATTACACCATCATCACTGTAGTTGTCAATACTTAACACGGGCACATTGGTCTTGCAGGTGGCTCCCTGTTACCAACACAACCATTTTACTTGGGCTACATAGTGCAAGCAGTTAAGCCAGGATTATTTATGTTCAGTTTCCACACGTAATAATAGCTGCTCCTGGTTTGAGGAGAAAAAAAAAAAAAAAAAAGATACAAAATCAAAGCTATCACTTGTTTATTTATGCCAAGAAAACCTTTAGGGCTCAAATTTTCCCTGCTGACACAGTTGCTAAGCTGAAAATCCCTCTGGGTGTCAGCACATTGAAGTACATAGCAACATTTCTTTACAGCATTGACATTTCTAATGGTAATATGAATAATATGAGTGTGCAGTTGGAGGGACAGCATACTGCAAGGCAGTCTCTGTTCTCAGTGATATTTATACCTTTTTATCTAATGACTCATATAAAGTATTTCATGTAGCAGAGACTAGAAAACAGGACATCTACCTTCATCCCCATGAAGATAATGACTTTACTACGGCATGCTTACTAAGGATTGCACACTCTTGCAGAGTCTCTTTCCACCCCAATAAGCCCTTTGTTCTTTGCCTCATACACTGACTAGACAAGGGGGATACAGACTGAGTCCATTGCACTATCCATAGGAGTAATAGATGAAGATGAGATCCTTTCCCAAGGTTAGGGCTTGAAAAGAACTTGGTTCTTCTACCCTATCAAGGCTTGCATTCCTGGGTAATAATGAAAAGGGTGTGTGATGTTACTGCACCTGTACTTCCAACTATCCAGAAAACTAAACACTATAAACTAGCTTAGCAGGTCAGGTTCTCTTGCAACACTGCATCTGACCCTCTCTCTCCCTCTCAGATTGCCAAAAGCTTGGATTTTGGAGCTTGTCAGTACATCAACAAATGCAAAGGACTTCTGAAAATCCTTTGGGAGCTCTGAGGGCCAAAGCAAAGATGCCTGCAGAGTCAAATGGGCCTGTGTCTACCACATGGTCTGAAGTGCCCAATTTTCACATGATGTGAAGATCCTACAGTAGTCATTGCCCCATTCTTTCATATATCAATGATCTACGCAATATGGAAAAGCTACAATCAGGGAAATAAAATGGCTCTAAGGACCTCATGGTTAACACGTATTCCTGCTTTCTTGGAGAAGACAATTCAGGTGATTCCAGAGGAAGATGGAATCTCGATCTCCAGAAGAGCAGAGCACAGATACTACTGGACACAGTTACACATTAATCCTGCCTGCATGCTTCTTGTAAAGCTTGACCAAGTAGGCACAGTCAAATATAACTCTCACAGTCTGAGTGTGGGTATTTAAATAGATTGCACTGACTGCAGTAGAGGACAGCAGCTTACCATCTGGCCTATGCTTTTATCTACAGTTTTGACTATACAACATGTATTTAGTACATTTCTGAAACTTTGTTTTCTGGATTGGATTTTTTTTGTGCGCAATCTGTCTGTATAATAGCTTATCATAGGAGGGTGGCAAGAATACATTATGCCTGACATGCAGGAGAAGAACAAGAATAAATTCAACATTCAAAGGATGTCTATATAGTACTACAATAAAAACACACCAGAAATTTACTAAATGGAAAGTAGTAAGAACAATAGTTATAAAAGAGTCACACTGGAATAATAAAAATTAAAAAAGAACCATCTACCAGCTGTCTATGCCAATAATCATCAACTTTAATGCTCAGTGAACGAGACATAAGCCCTCTGGGGACAACAAACACATAGCATTTAATTATG